CGGTACAAGTTATACCCAGGCGTTCAGATGACAGTTGCTTGTGCCTATCCCCCATGAGCTGCGTCCAGAGGCCCTCGTGACACTAGAGTTGGCATGGGGGGCACTGACGACAGGATTCATTTGGTCAAAGGCTGTGCATTTCTCCTTTGACAGATGTGACCGCTGGATTTCATATCGACTTGCATCGGTGTGAGTGGAAGGCTGGAGTCCAGCCTATCAGTCAGGTCACAGCCTGATGATACCTTTGGGGGGATGTGGCCTTTTTATAGGAGAGACACTGAGAACTTCTTTCTCTAGCCCTCTTTCATCTTCCCCCTCCGTGGGGCTCTGTATCTGCTTCCAGGGTCACAAACCTAGAGAGCTGCCACTCCTGGTCACGTTCCCACCAACCTTGGAGCCAGTGACTCTGCACCCACCCACCTGAGATTTCTCTGCACCCTGCTTCACCTCTCTGCATCACCGGCCGCAGCTGTCTGTGTGTTAAGAGGGCTCCAGCCACCATTGGAGGCGGACTAGTCTGGATGGCTTCCTGATATAAAATTACTCACTGATACAAAGTTCTTTCTTATACAGCTATGAGTATCATTGGTTTAGTGTCTCTAGACAACCTAGTCTAACACAACGATATTTTTGGCTAGTCTGAAATTATTTCTATTTACAACTTCAGTGTGCTCCAATCCTTCCAGGTCCCACAGGCAACTGGGATCATCTCACAACAGGGAAGAGACAGGCCCAGGCTCCCTTTCTGCCAATCACCTTCCCCGGCCCAACATCCACATTGCAATGCCACAAGTTCTCCTGTCTTCATGGAGTCCCCTGCCGTTATTGCCAACCTCCTGCTGCCAGCTTTTCTCTGCTCGTTCTTCTTACCAGGGCCCACCTCCCCACAGTGCAGGATGTTGATCAGACGGTTCTTGGAAAACGTATACATACCTGAGGATTTATTGAGAAGGAAAACTTTCCACCATTCTCCTTAATGTCCGTTTGTAGCTTTTTCTTCTGCTGACGAGCTAAGTACTTGACTTTCAGATAGAAGGTACAATTGGCAAAGATCCCCCCAGTCATCCTGTAGATAAAAACAAATGTCAAGCCATTGCTTTAAAGGGCTCTCCTCTCACTGAATCTGTTGGTGAATTTAGAATTGTTGTAACTGCAAACTGCCAGAGAATTGGGTGCTATTTTTTTTTATGACAATCATATTACAATCACAAAAAAGAACAGCATCCTAATTTGCAGTATGTATATTGTCTTAAAGTGATTTCCACTTTTTATAGCAGATATCATGATAGCACAGGCTTAACATCCCTTAAGGGAAACATGACAAATCTCAATACAGAGGAATGTGTGACTCAACACTACCCAAACATTTATTTCAAATTAACATGAACATCAAGTTATCACTGAACATTCCTCCCACAACCCTCTACTTCTCTGTTGGGCTTGGCAATTCCTTGCAAAGGCCACGCAGAACTCACAAACTCACAACGAAGGGGGCTTATGCGGGCAGCTAACATGTTGCCACAAACCAGGATCAGAAAATAGTAAGGAAACACCTGTTCTTAGCTAGTAGCTCACTGTGCTCCTCAGCCTCTCCCTACCAGGTCCCCCGGCCTCTGCTTCTGTGAGCCAGGAAACCAGCGCTTTTGCCTCGGTTTTACACTTGGCGCTGCTCCTCTGTTTGATCT